TATCTTTCATACCCATAATTGTTTTGAGGGCACAGTGCTGCCTCCAAGGCCTGACTGATAGGATGTCAGTTTTAAAAGACATTCTCTCACAATCAGCTGGGAAGAAGAGAGGCCCAAGGAAGGCCCCTGGGACATTTGATGTCTGGCCACTCAAAATTCTGTCCATCAAAACTGCTAGATATGGGGAACAAGGGCACACATTTGCTGGAATCTTAGGTCTGAGACCTAATCAACAGGATTGATTTATTTTGCTTCAAACAAGTCAATAGTCAAGCCTTCAATAATGGCAAAGATCAAATATTTACACACACAATGTCATGATGTGATGATATGTCAAGTTTGACATTCTTAAATATTAGTGCATTCTTTCACAGAATTCTCTTTCAACTGATTAAATTCTCAATGAAACCATGTTTAATACTTAAACAATTATATTTTAAATTCTGAAAAATTCAACTTGCCACAAAGTTTATAAATCTGTGGAGATATCTAAGGTAGAGATTTAAGTTTATAATCCCATAAAAATAATAATGGCAGAAAAAAAGTTATTTCCATAGATCCAGGAATCAATATTCATTATTTTCACAGTGATGGCAGGGAGATATATAAAAATGGTAAATTGTTATAATGATGTGGTTTTTGCTTTATTCTGAAGATCAGAAAGGTCAGACATACATTTGTTTTTTTGATATATTCTCGCCGCTAAATAGTATAGGAATGTGACTGGGGCAGGAATGAAGTCAAGAATGTTAAATAATTGTCCAATAGTTGGGGGAAGCTATTTAAGCTCAGGTATGCCTTGCTAATATATCCTATGACTTTTAATTCACTTATGAAAAATTATAAGTTTTAATTATGCATTGCAGATATTTTCAAAGAACTAGCATATAAGTAGAACCCTTAAATCTCCAGGTATACTTATTCCTAATCTCATTTCTGATTGCAAAAGAGAGACTGTGAAATCTTGAATTTCCATGCCATGCTTTGATTGTTATTACAAGGGAAATGTAACATTGTATGGTGAATCCAGGAAATCAGGACCAGGGGTTCTAGACTCTACCAACTGTTTGAGTTTAGACACCATACTGGAACCTGTAAATGAAAGGAGTTGAACCTTATCTTAAGATACCACCCAATGCTATAGGATCATCAATGTGTAGAAGTCCCAATTATCATTAATAGAAATTTTTGGCGTAAACTGCAGCATAAACCAGCCTGAATTTGCAGCAATGAGAAATGCATCAAGATCAAATCATGTCCTTAAAAAATAATTTTATGCAGCTAAACGCTGACATAGGTTGGTGTTATGGATTGAACTGTGTTCCCCCAAATTCATGTTTTAAGTCCAATACTGAATTAGAATGTGAAAGTAACTAGAGACAGGGCCTTTAAGGAGCTAATTAAGGTTAAGTGGGGTCATTAGGGTAGGCTAATGACTACCCTATGAATGAATCCAACACTAACGATGTCTTCATAAGAAAAGGTGATTAGTACTTACACACAAAGTGAACACACAAGAAGACAGTCATGTTTAAGCCAACAAGAGAGGGCTCAGAAGGAACCCCTCTGATTCCTTAATCTCAGAATTCTAGATTTCAAAATCATGAGAAAATTAATGTCTGTGGTTTAGGTCACCTAGCCAGTGGTACTTTGTTATGGCAACCTTAGCAATCTTATACAGTTGGCACTTCTATAACAGTTATATAATCAAAGGATTCTATGCATATAAATGTGGATAGGAGGTATAAAAGGAACATTAGATGTCTAATAAAATATAAAGATCTGAGACCTCACCAGAGGTCACCCCTTCTCCATAAACATTAAAAAGTGCTGTCTCAAGACAGCACACATTGCACAAAGGCCCACAGTGAGTATACCAGCAAGTCTCAGTTTACACTGCAGCAGCCACTGCAGTGCTTTGCAAGAAGAAAATGAAAATGGAAGCAGTATCTACAAGCATAAGAAAGTCAAAGCCACACAAAAGGTAAATACCTCAAATAGCCTCTCAAGAAAGATAAAAGAATATTCACAGAGAATCGAAGATCTCTCTACATAGTCACCAAATATACCACCTACAAAAGGGACTGGGCTCAGGAACCTGAATTCATCAATGTACTAATTATTTTTATAATGAAGCTCCTTATATGTAAGCTTCATTCTCCTTAGAACAATAGCATTAATTACAGCAAAATTAGCTGTGCTTAGGTAGGGCCTCTTCAATCCCTCCTTTGGATTTCCGTCGCATTCTGTTTATACTTCTTATGGCAATTATTAAGTTCTGCCTTGTTAGTATAGGCTAATTTGTACAGTTCCAATATTCCAACAGGATGCAAGCACTGTTTATTCTTTATCATAACACTTACCTCTCTACCTAGCTCAGAGACTTGCATTAAATACTCAGTAATATCCGTTAAACTGAATTGAATTCAATTGCTATTCAATAAACCACGAAAGTATTATTTTGCATGTTAGACCATAGGTAAATACATATCTCAATAGGAGACTTAGGAAGGCTGGAGTTCACCATGAGAAAGTCATGAAAGATGAGTTTGGAGAGATTAAGCAGGCATATAGCTGCTTAAAACTTATGGAACTTTGAATTTTCCTAGAGGTGATGGTGTGAATTTAAACCAGAAAAGCAACATTTTTACATTTGCATATGTTTGGAAAAAAATCAGTCTAGGTGACAGGTGAGAACGGAGTTATAGAGAATCATGACAGAGGCAGAAAGCTGAGGGTGAGTTAGTTAGAGCTGTTGAGTGTGTGGGTTTGGAATTGGGAGACTAGTGGAATCACTGTCAAGCCAAACAATCAAAGTACAACCAGGCAAGGAATGAAGATGAAGCTGGGCAACTTTGATTTTTAAAATTTTCTTTTTAATTATTGATGGTAACATACTTAAGTATGTAAAATGCTTTATTTTAGAACAGCTTGATAAACCAGTACGAATGTGTATACTAAGACAACGTCCACCCAGATCAAGGGAGAGAACACTTCTCGTAACTCTCATGCCATTCCTAATAATTAATTCTAAGGGAAAAATAGTAATTTTATAGGGACAACATTGCAGATGCCACCTTAACCAAACTATCAAAGTTAACATCATCAAAATGAGACAAACTGACATCATGCATTCCATGATATGATACACTGCAAAGGGCTAAGATATTCACATTCTTTGACGTTTTTCCCATAGGAAGGTGCTACCTATATCCTCTACCATGAGTTAAGGCAGGCTTTATGACTGCTCTAACAGACAGAATAGAGTGAGGTCTACCAATTTCTTTGGCAGCAGCATTTACTTTTGGAATCCAGCTATGCTAAGAAAAGCATGCTGACTGGGCCATGCTAAGAGAAACCGGGGCCACATGGAGAGCCTGTGATAGATGCTCAGATCCAGTATTAGCAGAGCTCTCAGTCAACAACCAGCATCAAGTGCCTGTCAGGAGTCACCCTGGATGCCCAGCCCCATTGGGCCTTCAGTGATACCAGTACCAGCCACAACTGCATGAGAGACTCCACCCCGCTGAACAAAAAATAAAACCATGAAAGATAATAACTAATTGTTTTAAATCACTATGTTTTGAGATGGTTTGTTATGTAGCAAGAGGTAACTGATCTAGCAAACTCTGCAAAACTGTAAATTCCATAAGACTTGGGACTTTGTTGTCTTCTAGCAGTATCCCTGCCTTCTAAAAGTGTACACAATAGGATAAATATATTTGTTGTGAATGAAAAAGTAAATGAGTAATTAGCAGTATCACTGATTTGAGGAAATGATTTGAAATCCACTTCTCTATTAAAAAACTATTAAGCCAAGTTTAAATGCTATCTTCCTTCTGCTTAATAAATTACTTGAGCAAGAACAGAAAGTTTTAGAAAATAATGTTATTAATTTTATATCTGCCCTCAGAAGTGGGTCACATATATGACCTACCTAAAAGTGGGTCTCTTGAAAAATAGAATATGACAACCTACATATTTAAAGACCTCATTAAGGATGTTGTTTTTGAGATTTTAGAATCTCTAAAATTTGGTCCTTTTAAAATCTTTTATCTCATCTTTCACTGTTTCTCCTGAGTATCAAGGCCAGCAACAAAAAGAAAAAAGGTGTAAGGGGGCATCCCCTGGTGGTGCAGCGGTTGAATGCTGGGTTGCAAAGCTGCCTGCAGCCTCTGCAGTGCTGGTGTGATCCCCAGCCGCCAGCGAGGGTCCCACATGGCGCAACAGACCTCTCCTGCCAGTCTGCCTGTTCTGTTCCCCACTCTGGCTCTGGTGAATTCTCTCACCCTCCCACGCATCTGACTGTACCCAGTGCTTGCATAAATAAATAAATAAATAAATCTTTAAAAAAAAAAAAAAAAAAAAAAGGTGTAAGGAAAGAATATCCTAAGAGGTGAAAGGTACTCATTTTTTTCGTGATGTTTTATTTCTGGGATGTTTTATAAGACAAAAAATGATTTTACTCTCTCCTTTTCTTTCACAAGACACATTTTGAATGGTTTCCCTTTTCTAAGCTCCCTGTCTCAACCAATAACTAGAAGCAGAAAGGCTGATACAGCAATAATTGAATAGTGATTCAATTATTTGAATACTCTATGTTAGGAAGAGTTGAATACTCCAAGTACAGGACACTAATAATCATCTAAATAACAAATAGGTACCTATTTGCACTGTTTCTTATTTTGGTAATTATAAAGCAGCATCTGTTTGTTGTTCACCCATATAAAGATATGTCAAATCCTGCAAAAGTGAGGCAACAAAAGGGGAGGGTGTTGAGCGGACATAGGGGAAAGAGGGGGTGCAATGGAACATGGTGGATTACTGGGACACTGGTAGTGGGCATGACATGAAAACATACATTTAAACCAATAACTCCCAAAACAGATACAACAATGTAAAACAACTTCACCTCAATAAATAATCTGAAAAAAGAGAGATATGTCAAATAATAATGTCATATTTATTAAAAAATATTGACAAAAAAATTAAAACATTTCACAAAAGCATACTGTTCCTTAACAAGCATCATGGGAAATTACAGATAATACTACAGTAAAAGTGATAATCTTTCTTATATAGTTCAATTAAATTATTGCATGATTTATATTATGTTTACCATAAGCTTCAGGAAGACACTTAAACTCTTAACTATGACATTTCTTATACGTAAGTGTTACACAGCATACTAAAATGCCAAAATTGCTCAAATATCATTTCTCTAAATGGAATTTTCAGTACCAAACATGTATGTCTTGAATTTAATCAATACTTATCTTTTTGGAGTAAGACAACCTGAGGCTTATTTTAGAAATACATAATGTTTCATCCCAAAAAATCCCCTCTATTTCCAGATATGGTTATCTGTAACCAGTCCGACACACAAACCTTTTCTTAGTTTACTTGCTTTAGAGCCATTAGCAAGAGTCCATCGTCAGGTGGCACTGTTGTATCTCAGAGATTACTTCTCAGTGCACAGATACTGGTTTATGTCATCCTGACTAAATTCTTTTATTCATACAAGAACTGGGGTACAGGCCAGGGGTGTGGAGGGTGAGAGGATTCACCAGAGAAAGTGGGGAGCAGAACAGGCAGAATGAGTGAAATACACTGCTGAGGGGAGCAGCAGGCGAGACAGGAGAGGTCTGCCATGCCATATGGGTAGCTCCCTGGCTGGGGAAGGAACTTCTGCTGCAGTGGCTGTGGACAGCTTCATAGGTTGCGTCTTAACCCTTGCACCACCAGGGGGCCCCAATTCTGACTAAATTCTTAAACCCAAATGATTCATCTTTGACTTCCCTGTTGCCTTTCTCCTCACAGGAAGCAGAGGAAACAATCTGGTGTTACCTACTATAAACTTCATAATATAAGTACATTTAAAAACTACAGAATTTGATCTCTGTTCAGGATTCTGTTCTTATCACCTGTGTGAGTTCTTCTTTTCTAGACTTCTATTCACACATACCCCCAAGATATAATTCTATTGTTGGAGTACTAACAATGGCAAAGGAAGGTTCTGGAATCAGTGACTCAAATTCTCTGAATGTGAAGTTTTGTTTTTTATAGGTATTTATTTAGATCTAAATGCTTCTGGTATCTCACTTTGCCAAGCAAGTAATTTCCTATTATTCCTAAACCAGAAGAAAAGGTATATCCAGATAAATACATGGACAGACATTCCTTCTCTCTAACTAGTTTATGGATTGGTGTTTGCCAAGACAAGAAAGCAAGGCAGCTGTCAATGAATGAATGGTTGCTTGGGGGGCACAAACCCTCTAATCTTTCAAATTTGCTCATTTCTTACATATTTTTGACTTGTACCAAGCAAGCTGTCTTTAAAGAATGGCCTCAATTCAGGTGCTGTGAGCCATTTCAGTTTAATACCTCCAAAAAAGATAGAGAAACTTCATCACAACAGCACTAAATGTTCAGGACTCCATCCTCCTTTTTCTTGGGATTTTGTTGTTTGAAGACACAGAACTAAGGGATGTCCATACTAAGCACTAGTCAAAGTTCTTGCACAGACAGGAGTCATTCTTTTGTGGTTATTGGTGAGATGCTAAATGCTGACATGGTGGAGCTAAGACAGTTATATCCCATTAGACTTATGAAACCTGGACTAGTGCCTTTTGTATAGTGCCTATACCTCCTACCTTGTCCAGGATATTTCAGTTGATGCCCATTGTCTCTATTGTCCTAACTTAATTGGTACCCATTTCTCTTTCTAAAATGTCCCAATTTGGGCAGCAAATTATATGGTAACCCTATTTATCAAATAAGTAGAAACCTACTTATCAAGTTGGGTCTCCCAAACAAATCCACCCAATTGAGCAGTTTTTTTCCTACATCAATTCCCTTTATCCTAGTTCTAATGCCCTCCTATTATTAACCTCCCTCCTCATGTCCTGATCTTGCCACCCCAAATCTTTTCACCTCCAAAAATTCATTGTTTCTTTCCTTCATTCCCCAGAAATCTCTCCTTCAGTCACTTTTCCATCTCTTGCTCCCTTTCGTCTGTCAAAATAAACTTTAGAAAAACCCCAACAATGCCGATATTCAACTTGCACATATGGCTAGCAGTTTGAATAGTTTGGTGCCATACTTGGTCATTAAATATTTTGAAAACAATCTGGATTCCGAGGCCAACACCAAAGAAATCTCCCAGACTTATTAAACTGGTCTCTCAGCAGAGAGGGCCCATGCAAACTTTTCCAGAGCAATACAGCTGATTCTCATTGATGGTGTACAATGAGCGGTCCTGGCCTCGTCTGTCCCAGACTCCATGAATGCCACTTCCCTTAATTCACATAATCTCACGGAGGCAACACAGTGCAGCAGTGAGGAGCCCAAGATTCTGAAAATAACCTACTAAGGTTTACTTGCTGAGTAATCTTTGAAAAATTACTCAAGAGTCCTGTGCTTTAATTTTCCCTTTAGAATATGGTTAACAGTACTTATTCCCACACCTGCAGAAATATTAAACAATCAAACACATAAAGCACTTAATCAATGCCTAGTACAATAATTGCTTTTAAGATGCTAGTAATTACCTGCTTCACAGTTGAAAACACTTCCAAGGTCACATGGCTGGTGATGCTGATATCAACCCAGGTTTTCTGAATCTAAACGCCATACCACCACTGCCCAAGAGCTCTCCTACGTATGATAAAAAGCAGTAAGAGGCCAATGAATGCTATGGGAAGCACTTTATCTGATCATGTAACATCATGAAATGACAGCCGCCTAACCATGGTATAGTTATGACTAGAGAAAATGGCTCAGAAACCATAACATTTATAAGATAAAAGTGAATAGTTTCAAAGTATTGACCAATACTCTCAAAGACCAATTGTTTTCAAATTTAACTATTTTTAAACTGCTTTTAAACCCAATATAAATTATAGTTAATTCACATAATGAAACTGCATTTAAAACAAGCTTCACTATTTCCCATCTTGATTATCCTCAACATTTCAAATGCCTCTTTCCATTATCACATCATTTCAAAGGGAACCCCTGGAAAGTAGTAATGCCTAGCCTAGCTTTCCTCATAGACAGTCAATAACCTGGAATCTTTACGCCACATTCCCTAATATTCCTACAATCTGTACTTCCTGCTCTTTTGAGACATGCTTCTTTCTAGCACAGACAAAAAAAAACACACACACACAAGCAGTATTTTGAAAACCTAAATTCTGGGCTTGGCTGTCATAAACTACAAAATAATCTTAAATAAATAGTTCATGAATCCTGTGCAGGCCTCTGTTCTCAACTGCAAAAGATAATTCCTATTAGTTCAGTCTTTTGCAGTACTGTAATTTCACAGTAACTCTTAAAAGTAGGTAGCATTATATTCATTGTATAGAGAAAATTCAATCTCAGAGAGGTTATAATATCCAAGATCTTACAGGCAGTAATATGACAGAACTAAACTAATACAATCACATTCAAGAAACTAGTAGTGGCGCATGTGCTCAGTATGTTTGGTAAATGGACAAAGTAGCAATTTCTCAGGTTCATCCCCCATGCTCACACTGTTGCTTCTATTGCAATTTTTTCTCTCTTCGATCAACCACTTCAATTATAAAATATACATATCATCACCAGATTTCATTTACCACCAGACTTCATTTCAGTACCAATGTTACAGCATTTAGTACTTTAACCAGTCTTTAAATATTTCTTTCATTTCTACATTCAGTTCTGAGCAAAGCTACTTTTATAAATGCCACGAATTATTTTTATATATTTTTAAAGACAGTCATCTCATACATAAAACCATATTCAAAAGAAGCACTCCTTGGAGAATAAAAACATATTTTTTATTAATTTTATATTGTTTCCTATGTCTTTATTTGAAAATACTGTTATTTAACCTCACTGTCAAAATGTCAGTCAAGAGTCAAGAAATGTCACTTTTACCATTCTATAGGGAGCATGAACCAATGACCTGAAATGGAAGGTAAAACTCTGAAGGTTAAATGAGGGATTCATATGACCAATTTAAAAGCTGATGATAAGATGTGCCTGAAATAATACATTAATGTCTCTATTTATAATAGGTACATATATTTAGTTATGCTGATACCACCTATAAATATGTACCTAAACCAAATTAAAGTATAAAATAAAATAAAATAAAATAAATTCTATCAGCAACCCTAAGAAATCAGCAGAGCCCAATAAACAGCATGCTCCCACAAGGCGGAAGATTTGAACAGCTAGTAATTTTTATAATTTAATATGCTAAAAATGAGAACATAAAACAGGGCAGGGATGAGGACTACACACAGGAAAATAATTTCATTATTTTCTTCACTTTGATTGTATTGCTTTTTTGTCTTTAGGAGGGAAAATCTTGACTTCAAAAGTAACAAAGTATTTGAGAAGAGAATTTACATCTTTTTGTTCTAGATGGTATTCTTCTGCTATTTTCTCAGCAGTCCAAGTTTCTGGATGAAGTTTATGATTATTAAGAAGCGTCAATGCTTCCACAATGGAAATTTTGCCTTTAGGAATGTTCTTAATATTCATCATTTCGAAGTGATGGCCTTTTGGCAATCTGAACTCTTTCGGTTGTTGAGGTGTTACAGCATCTTTTACCTAGTACCAAAAGAAAAAAGGGTTTCAAAATGAGAGAGAAAATATTTGACATGTATTTTCATACTTCTTGCACTATTGTTCTTCAAATAATTCCAAAACAGCTTCTTCAAACTACATTTTCTCATTGTAATAAGTCAGCTTCATGACACTTTTGCCAATTCACCATTTCATATATAAATTCAATCATTAAGAAATTTAGATAGTTCTAAAAAGATAGTTCTAAAGATAGTTCTAAAAAGTAATGAAATACACACCACTCACTCACATTATTTCAAGCACATTAAAAGAAAAATAACTAATTGATTAAATACTGCTTTAGAACAGTGGAATTCTACTGCTACCCTAAAAGTTTACTGGATAACCTACATTCTGTTTCCTAGTTTTGTATTTCATATTCCAGGTCCCCAAACCCTCGAAGGAATTAAAATATTGCTAATGAGCTTGTCTCTTCAATAAAAATAAATTAATGCCTGCTATCCCCCCAAATATAAATGATAACTTATACACACCCATTCTTTCATCTGTCTTTCCCATCCAAGATTATTCTTTGCATTTGTGCTCTGTATTTTATTCCTTTACCAAGCTGTGTCAATTATTCTTTTCCTTTCAAATGTATACCCTAACCAATGTTAAATTTTGGTCAAAATATAAAAACGTCATTTCTAACTTTTTGAAAACATGCACCAAACTCAAAACCAACACTTTCCTTATAAGCAGTTTCCTTCTTTTTAAGCTTTAAAGCAAAGTTTTTGTTTTTTTTTAAAGATTTATTTATCCATGCATTCAAGAACCGGAGTACAGGCCAGATGCATGGGGAGGGTGAGAGGATTCACCAGAGACAGAACGGGGAACAGAATAGGCAGACTGACTGAAATACACTGCTGAGGGGAGCAGTGGGTGTGACAGGAGACTTCTGCCGCACCATGTGGGAGTCTTGCTGGCCGGCTGGAAATCAAACCCAAGCTGCAGAGGCTGCTGGCAGCTTCACAATGCTGTGCTCAACCGCCTGTGCTACCAGGGGAGGCCTTAAGTAAAGTTTTAAAAGATAATATTTGCAATCTCTAAAGACATCTAAATTGCTTGATCCAGAGGATCCTTTGTAGGCTTTATCTGAACTCATTACAGCATCAAATTGTGTAGACACCTCTAATAAACCGAACACTACCTCGCCTTGGTATTCTTTTTCTTTTTTTTAAAGATTTATTTATTTATTTTCATTTATACAATAGCTGGGGTACAGGCCAGAGGTGTGGGAGGGTAAGAGGAGTCACCACAGACAGAGTGGGGAGCAGAACAGGCAGACAGACTGAAAGATAGGAGAGATCTGCTGCGCCATGTGGGAATCTCCCTGGGAATTGAACTGGCACCGCAGAGGCTGCAGACAGCTTCACAGCGCTGTGCTCAACACACCGTGCCACCGGGGAGGCCCTCCCCTTGGTTTTCATGCCAGCTTACTACTATTTTTCACCTGTCTCTCCAGTGGTTCCTTCTTCACTTTTCTTTGTGAAATATTTCCCTCAGCTGTTATTTAAGTGTTAGTATGCCCCAAGTTTTGGTCTAGATCTTCTCACTCTATTCATGCCTCCTTAGTAATCCCAAACACTCCCTGAACTTCCATTACTACCTACATGTTAATGATTTTCAAATTTGACCACAAACCTGGACTTTTCTCTTGACTTCCAGACCTAACTTCCCAAATGACTGTTGGGCATTTCTACTTGGACAACCTACAAATACTTATAATAATCACTATGTCTAAAACTGAGCCCATCCTTTTCCCTTCAAAATCCACTTCTACCTGCATATTCTTGATCCTAATGACCAACACTTCCCAACTCCCATCTACCAGAAACTATAGATTATCCCTGATATTTCCCTTTCTCTCACTCATTACATCTAATTGAGGCCAACATCCTGTTGAAACTTCCTAAGTCCCTTTCAACCACATTTACTTCTCTATTAGTCACTATATCAGCATAGTCTAAGTCAATATTTCTTACAGTAACTATTGAATCGGTCTCTTTTGCGCCTCCCTGGTGCCATAGGGGTTAAGTCTCAGCACTATCAAGCTATCTCTGATGTGGCCTGAGTTTGATCCCTGCTAACCCACATTTGGTACAGTGGACCTCTTCAGTCTCACCCACTGCTCCCCTCAGCAGTATATTTCAGTAAATCCACCTATTCTGCTCTCCACTCTATCTCTGGTGAATCCTCTCACCCCTATATGATCTTGCCCCTAATGTCCCCTATTTCACCTTATTCCTTCCAAAGTCGTCCCTTGCACTTTCCCCTAACTATACGAACTCTAACCATCTACAAAGGCATCATATAATCTCCCATCTTCATAATTTTGACCTGAAACACTTTTCCCAATTTCTTCACCTCCCCAAACTCAAAGCTTTCCTTATCTTTCTATTCCCATGAAAACCTTCTTTCCATCTGATACACACTTTTATTCATATTTCTCTTCTGATTAATATTAAATATTGTAATTAATATTAAGACATTGAAGGGTCTCCCAGGTGTCACAAAGTTTCAGCACTATCAAGCTATCAGCAGCCACTACAGCATGAGTTCCATGCCCAGCCAGGGAGCTATCCCACATGGCTCAGCAGACCTCTCCTATCTCTCCCGCTGTTACCCTCAGCAGTGTATTTCAGTAGATCTGCCTGTTCTGCTCCCCACTCTGTCTGAATGAATCCTTTGGTGAATCCTCTCACCCCCTGCACCTCTGGCCTACACCCCAGTTCTTACATGCATGCATAAATAAAATAAATCTTTTAAAAGATATTAAGACACTGAAATAGTATCTGACAAAATTCAACATCCTCTCTTGATAAAAACATAAGAAAATGTTCCAAATGTAAAAAAAGGATTTTATCAGAAACCAGTATCATTTTGTTATCACTATTGCTGAATCATCTGAGGCATCTTATGTAAGGAAATAACAGAATAGATAAAAAAGGATAGAATACCAATTTTCACTATACATGTTTATATTGCTATAAACAATGCCTGTAAAGAATGTAAACACCAGGAAGAAATTTACAATTTTATACAGATATAAGAATATCTTTGAAAAATGAGAATCAGCTAAGAAATGAATAGAAATAATCTAGTAATGTGGACAGCTGCCATATAAAAATCACTCATTTTCTGATATATTTGCAATAAATCAAAAAATTTAGGCTAAGAAAAGACCCCATAGTAACAAAGACTCAGTATTTATTTCCATCTCCCAAAGACTCAACAATACATAGATGTTAACTGTCCTTAAACTAACCCATAAATTCTACATCAATTATACTCAAAATTCAAACAGGGCTTACTAAAAGAACCTAACAATTTGATTCTCAACTTCAGCTAGGGAAAAATGTGTGAGAAAAGTCAAGAAGCTTTTCAAAAGAGAGAAGATCATAGCAAGTATCAAGACACATTAAGAGCCCTACTAATTAAAATAGAAAAATACAGGCCTGTATGTGTGTGTATTAGCATTAACTCAGTAGAAAACGAATTGGGTTATTCAACTAATTATTTTAGACATTGTTCATCCATTTGCAAAGATCTCCAAATACTTAAAGGTCAAATAAAGATTTTAAGACAAAATATACAGTCATAAAAATACTAAAAGAAAATACAGAAGACTATTTTTTATGTTAAGAGTCCAGACTTCCTATAGACAAAAAAAAAATCTGACAGAATTTTGAACAGCAATAAAAAGTTACAAAGTCAGACAAAAAATAGAGAAACTACTAGTCATTACAGGTATAGGATTACTGATGTTTTGGAGACATTAAGGAAATTAAGACCTGCCCAAAAGGGGAAAAAAAAAAAACAGCTACTTCAACTTTTTTTCTTTTTTCTTTTTTTTTTAAATATTTGATTTTTTTAAATTTTTATTTATTTATTTATTTATTTATTTATTTATTTATTTATTTAATACAAGCACTGGGGTACAGTCAGAAGTGCAGGAGGGTGAGAGAATTCACCAGAGCCGGAGCGGGGAGCAGAACAGGCAGTAGGACCGAAGTACACTGCTGAGGGGAGCAGCGGGTGGCAGGAGAATTCTGTGCGCCATGTGGGACCCTCCTCCAGTGGCCAGGGAGCAGCCGGGGATCAAACCGGCGCTGCAGAGGCTGCGGGCAGCCTCGCAACCCAGCGCTCAACCGCTGTGCCACCGGGGAGGCCCTTCTTCAACTTTTTTTCATTTTCACTCTCCCATGCATCTTTGCCTAATAACTCCCCAAATTGTTAATGCCACTGTGTACCTCTTAAGGTATTGTACCTATATATATGAATTTTATACTTAAAAAAGCAATGAGTTGTTTGGTTTTTTCCCCACTCTCCAAGAGCCAATTTTTCAAATGCATGCTTTAATATAACAGGAGAGAAATAATACTATTCAATACCTATCTATAAATAACATCAAGAACATCAAGAACATCAACATTAAAAAAAAAAGGATACCAACATTAATCCCACTATCTTTTTTCTGTGAGCATGTGGTGTTAATTACTATTACATGCAAACCTCATTTTACATATCACCTTTATTTCTCTTATCCAGTGCAAATTAAGAATTACTATATCTGTGCAGTCTATTGCTTATATAGGGAGAGAGAACCAGAGTATTTTAGAAAGAAAAAACTTTGGAGTGGTCACTGGCACTTTCTCCTCCTATAATCAAGTTATTCCTACTCAGAATCTTCTTGCTGCCCAAAACGCACGTGGTTTAACTTCAATTCATTATTTAGATGGGTTTAAACGCCAATTCCTTACTCATTCTTAATCTTCCTACTTCAAATAGGTCCCTTCCATATACTCAGTGTCTATATTTCTCCTTTATAAACATATCAGCAATTATGCACACTTGTCTTGACCGTTTTTCTTGGGCCCCAAAGAATGAAATTAGTTATTCACTGAATTAAAACACACATTACCTGCATAGAAGCCACAGGATCTTTGGAATCAACATACACATCTTTTAGCAATGACAGCAGTCTGTCATCTTTTCTAGCAATTTCTCCCTTAATTCCTGGATTGTCTAGAGAAAAAAAAAAAAGTCACAGTGTTAAAGAAAACGGTCATTTCCTCTCAGATCCGAAACACTTAACACACGATACAATTTTTTGCTTAATAAACAATCACTCGGAATGTACGGAAATAATTTTAAATATAATTCAAACTACGAGGTCAGGCTGGGAGTCTACAGTTCTATGAAGACAACTAGAGAAAACCTCCGCTGCACATTATCCCTTTGGATTTGGATTCCTCACATTAAATTTCTGGGCTTTAATGACATTAAAGCCTAATTTAGGCTTTACATTAAATTTCTAGGCTTTAATGACAAAAGCTGGCGAGCCCGGGGTCGGTGGCGGGCACAGGTCGCCCCCGGGGACTACTCAGTAGGCGGAGCCGCCGGCGGCACCTCGGGCGCGAGGGGACAGTCTCAATGTCAGCGGCCCGGAGGCGCCACCTGCCCGCGATCACCCCGGCCACTGAAAGGGGGTCTCCCCGCGCGAGGTGTCGCCTGCACCCCGAGTTCGCCCCACTCACGGCTTATCTGCTCTTGGAGGAGCTTCTTGGTTGAGGGGTGCCTGGGGGCGGAAGAGGGCTTCATCTTGCTGATTTCCCGCTCCGTCCGGTTCTCCAGGTTGAAATTCCGAATCGCACGAGTCACCGAGGCTCCCATCTCCTCACAACATGATGCCCTCAGGTTCACGCCACACGTGGGGAAGCACCGGCACGGACGACCTCCGGGACGCACGGAGCATGCGCACGTCCGGGGTCACCCCTGCCGCGCGCCGGGAAAAAGGTCGTTAAGTGCGCCAAGTTCGCCCCCTGGCGGTCGGGAGGGCACACGCCGCGTCTCCGCCCAGAGTGTGTCAAAGATTGGAGCCTCGCTCCCCCGCCTGCAATTTGTAGTTTGCGGAGCTTTCAACCCGACCGGGCGAGAGCTCAGATCGCTGGTGGTTCTCACCCCTGCAGATTCCTGGAGTCACGCGGGAACTTTAAAAGTTTCTTGCCTCGCCCAGCCCAGACTGGCTGATTTAATTCGTTCAGAGTGAGGCGTGGCGTTGGTTCAATCTTCCCACGTGATTCCAGAGTTGCTTGGTGAATAGAGAAAGTCTTTTTGAAATTGACCTTGAAGTGTTTTCACAGGTCAGTGTAGCCAAAGAGGAAGACAGTAAAAATGGATCTGATTGCACGAGGATCGAGGAAGTTTCCAAATTTTCCCTTTCCTGCTTTTATTAAAGGAAAAGAATGAAAATGTATTAATTCTTGATGGATATTTGTTCTCACGCTGCAATTTAAATGCCTCTTATTTTCCTGTTCCTTTCCATAATGCATTTCTGAGCCACCGTCTATTCTTTCCATGATTCTTTACACCCAGCTCTCAGAACTCATTGGACCTAACATATCAATTTCAGGTGTGCTTTCCTTTCCCCCTCCTGTGCTTCTGTTTTTATTTAAGATTACTTAGAAATATTGCAACCTGTAATAAAAGAACCCATAAGGAAACAGCAGGGTTTCCAAAGTTAAAATATTTTCAAACTGTGACTGCAGGATGTGTATTTAGTGTTCTCAGCACTGCTTAGGGCAATGAAGTTGGTTGTTTCCAGTTGAAAAGGAAAGAAACTGTAAGATAATCAAGTGAAAGTAATAATTTTTAAAAATCAAAGCAAAGAGCAAGTTTATTTAAAGAAAACTAATGTAATTATTAAATATAATACCTATCATAGCAAAAGTACTACAAGGAACATCGCTTTGACCATTGAGTATTATGAAACACTTCTGCTAGGGTTGGTCCTTGGAATTTATAGAGGCTAAATCCTATTTTCTCTGGTGGAGTTAGTTAGGAAGTTATCCTGAAGGTGGCAGGCTGCTCCAAGATTTCCATCTTTGAGACCTGCATGCTCATAATTCAGTGGTTTTTAGCCAAGGTATTCAAATGTCTATGGATTCCAAGAAATTTTCATCTGCCTCATTACGATCTTCAAAAATTATGGTAGCATTTCCACTCACTTTCTTTTAAAATAAAAAAAAAATATTTTCATGGAAATCCCACTGTATTGCTGACAGACTGAAAAAGAAATGCTAGCCAGACATTAGAGGAAATGGAGAGGGCTTTGAGGAAAGAGTTTAGGTAAGAGTTTGGCTTTAGCATTTAAGGAGCAGCCAAACTGTTCCAGCTGCGAGGACAGTTCCTGGCCTGATGCTGCCCTCAAAAAGGGAATAGAAGGTGTGAACTATACCAGAAAGGCGCAATGGTTATTGCTCCTTCAGAATCATCATGGAAAAAAACTTCAAAACACAAATGCATAATTCCGTAATTCCATTCTTTTTGTCAAGACATGTAAATTAACATGAAGTCTGAACTGAGAACTCCCTTTGAGCTTATGCTGAGGTTTGAAGTCAGTTTCCCAAGGAAGGTATAACTAGGCTGGTGCTCAGAATTCAGCATTTCTCTGAGTGGAATGTTATGATAGGTATGTACCACTGAATATCTTAAATACTAATGAAATGTGAGATGTGACTGGGGACCCAGGGCAGGACTGAAAAGCATGAAAGGAGATAAGAGGAGCTGGACCAACCAACTACTGGAGTCTGTCCCCACGGGGGAACTTCTCCACTGACACTGGCAGGGAGCTGGGTTCTCAATGCCAGAGACTCAGAAGCAGCATTACATGGCAGTCACTGGAATGGATGGTATGACAGTGTGGATGAGGAGGCACAGAATCCAGAGATCACACTGGCCTGGACAAAACAGAGCAGTCTCCTATACCACAGGAAGCTCCAGAATCAAAAGGTCCAGAGAACTACTCCACACACCTGCCCTACAAGAGGTTCCTGAATGACTCTGCCTTGCTACCTGCCTCACAGTTGCATCTGGGGATTAGAGCAGTGTGGTCTGCTGCAGTCCAGGAGCACAGGTCCTTGCTAGGAAAAGAAAAAGATTCCAGGAAAAAGACAAGGCCCGTGGGTTAATCATCATCGATCCACGTCTTGCAGTAAAGGAGAAGTGGGGGTGATCAGAACAGGGAAGAGAGACACGGGGGAGCTTAGTGGTGGTTTGTGGTGGATTATTGGTGGGAGGGCCGCACCTAAGGGGAACAATAACTATAGAAAGATGACCCATGATATTAGAAAATAAATATATTTTAAAAATAAACAATAATCTCTAGGATTCTATCCATGATGTAATATTTCAGAAGGTACATTTAGCTTCCTGATGTTGTTTTTGAAATACTGGATACCCTGGGATATACAGGAAGTAGCTTTGTCTGTGAGCTTTTTGGGGTGGTTTCTTATTGTCAGCCCATGCCTTGGTAGGTATAACTCTGCCTTTTTATCTTGATAATGCCTCTGCCATATATCTAGCTTCTGCCTCCTTTTAGCTCTTGGAATTATACCCAAGCATCAAACTTCAGTACAGACAATCCCCTGCTGAGTTTCATTTCTGTGGCATAGGGCACTGCTAGCGTAGGTGGGGAGGCAGGGATGAAGGAGAACTCTGTGACCCTGTGCAGAGGACCCAGAGAAGCCACCTAAATTTCTGACCTATAGAACTATGAGATAAGATAAAGGGATATTGTTTTAAACCTGTCAATTTGTGGTGACTAGTTATGTAATAATAGAAAACGAAGATTGCAGGTAATCTGAGAGTAAGGCTGGGGATGAAGTGGTTGACAAGGGATCCAGGCAAAATAAAGCCCAAGGAAGACATACTCTATACACTTGAACTCTCAGACTCAGGAGAGCTCAAGGATAGCATCCTCCCCTCACATCTCGGTCAACATATCAAGTGCTTGACAACACTCCACAATGCTGCATGAAGGACTGGGGATAAAGACAAGGTCAAATCCTTGTGATCCTGACAGTACAGTGTCATCACACGGATCTATTTAACAAAAAGAATGTGCTAGGAACAAAAAGTAAGAGGATGGGGTAAGCATACCTGAACTGACACAAATATTTTGCCAGTAAAAGGGGTAAATTAAAATTCCTGCAACTATAAAAACACATGTCAATGATTTTGTTTAACTCATAAATGAGGGAACCAGTAAGATTTACAGCCAGTTCAAAGATTCAAAATACATACCATCAGGATATAAAAGAAAAAAAAAAAAAACCAGAAGCAGGGTGGTTAGAAAGAAAGGGATAGTGGCCATGGGATGAAGTTACTGTTGCTGTCACCTTATGGCAGCTGGTAGAGGTTTAAATGATGGAAATCAGTCTGGTCTTTCTCTCTATGCCTGAAGTTCACTTGGATGGAAGTTAGAGAGTCACAGGTCTGACATCCACATAAAGAATGATTTGAAAGCAAAAGACCAGGTGAGATGCTGTTACTGTCCATGTGAAAGATAAGCTCTTTTGTCCAATTTTCTTAGGGATCGCTTATCTTTAATAAGAGATCTTTGGAAGGACATGGTTTAGATATATCTTCAACTTAAGCTGGATGAACAGACAGCAACCCAGACAGTGGGTTCAGAGACTCTAGTATGAAATGTAGTTACCTATTTTAATATTCTCATGCCACTCTTGCTATGGTTAATCTTTTTTAGAGCTTCTGATTGAATAGAAGCTCAGAATGTACTGGTATGATTCTGTTGACTTGCCGGTTCCTAATCCACGGCCACAGGCACAGTAGCGTTTATAATTCCAGAGAAGACTAAAAATATCAGTTCTGTCTACAGACCTCAGCAGTGTGAGCTTGTAAGCTAGTATATGAGATTTCTATTTCTGTCAGAATATTAATTTATGTACATAGTTAGCTACATTATGAAAAGAAATTTGAATATGTTTAAGAAATTGTAAATGTTGACGCAAGTAAGAAAGAATCTTGTTTAGCAGTGTATATTTGTTAGAAACCTAGTGATGACCCTTTAAAAAATAACTTGATTATAAAAAATACTAACAATGGAGTTCAGGCTACTGGGGCTGTGTCCTGGGAGTAGGTCTTACTGCACTTTTTCAAAAATCTCTGGAATGTGTTCTGCCATTTTGAGATTGAGACTTGGCACATGATGACTTTAGAATTCACAGCTTCAAAGAGGGAAAGGGTACCCTGATTTATGTATTTGACCTCGTCAATTTATTCAACAAACAAGTACAATGTGCCAGGCATGATTCTTGCTATAAACATCCCTTCTCTGAGAAGGAAGTTTGCATTCTGGTAAGTGAAGATAATGAAATATACAAAAGTGTGTGTAAAGATTGATAGATGGTAATAAGTGCCTTGTAGAATATCAAGGGAGATAGAAAGTGAAGGCTGTTACTATTTCATATAACATTCAAGGAAGACCCTATTAATTAAGTATAATTTACTTTGCAAAGTGACTAAAGTAAGGAAAGAATGGATATCTGGGGAAAAAGTGTTTTTGAGATGAAGGGAACAGAAAGTACATAGGTTCTGAGGCAGAAGCTTGACAAGGTATTCATGTACACTGCTGTTAACCCATGAAACCCCAGAAAAGAAACAGTGGCCTGTATAGCTACCAATGGTGTGACTGTGACTCTGAGATCTAGAAAATATACTCCTTGGTGATATGCAAGGGAAATTGGAGCAAATTTCAAGATGAACAGAGGGTTTCTTGTGTCATAGTGGCTCAGGGTACAAATGTACATACTGATTTAATGTCAAGGAATATTCCTGGAGAAAGAAAACTCCAAAATTTTGCCACACACAGGGGTATCTAAGGATAAATGTTTATATTTAATAACACTGGACTCCTCAAATGATGTGGTAGGGTTGATCTGTGAGACATGTTTGGTGACCC